TAAATGACCCTGGGTCCCTCTTGGCAGTCATTACCATGGTTTTACAGGGTCTCTCCCCCCCTTGATTTCTTTTAGTCGGTGGGGTTCCAGGTCCAGAAACTGAACAAAGAGATGGTGACTTTTTATTGAGGTGGCTGCCATTGATCATTGCTTGTAGAAGTATCCACCATTGATTTGCTTGTAGAAACCGAGCGATACTTGTTGACTGTTCACCATTCCTGGGAAGGCTGTGTTCTATTAACCACCTCTATAGTTCTGTGGGGATCAAACCACCCAGCTGCCGCTCAGATTTTGCTGCTCACTATGGTAATTTTATCCACCTGTTTCTGAGCATGGCACATAACTAGCTGACCTCTTATTTGATTACCTATTCTGCTCGCTGCTCTGTGAGGCCAATTCCAATCATCGCATCTCGCACTGTCAGCCCTGGCCTCCAGAGGACAGCCACCTCTGAGCTTCCCAATGATGCTGGAACCCTTTTGTACAGTACTTACTTTGTGCCTTTGGTAAAGTGAGTATCCTTCAGGCTCACCCACAGAGCATACTCCACTGGTGAGTTTTCTGCCCTTATACAGTATATCCAGTCTAGAATGCCCATGTCTCTAATCCTTTTGTTCCCTTCTTCCATCTGTTTTAGAATTTCTACTTTATTTAATATGGGCCATCCCTTACTCCCAACTTCCCAGAGCCATCATGGGAGCAGGCAAAGATGACTTCTAGGTTTGAGGCTCAAGCAGCCGAAAGGATGGGGCTGCCATTAAAAGAAATGGGGAAGACAAATGGTGGAACACGTTTGAAGGAGTTGATTAGAGTTCAATCTTGGACATGTCACACGTAAATGGCTATTAGTTAAATGGAGGTGCCAAGTAGGCAGTTAATGTATTAGTCTGGAGTCCAGGGGACAGATCTGGATCATAGAAACAGACGAATGTTGGGCACCTGGGTGGCTCAGTCGTTAAGTGGCTGCCTTCGGCTCAGGTCATGATCCCAGGGTCCTGGGATCGAGTCCCACATCGGGCTCTCTGCTCTGCAGGGAGCCTGCTTCTCCCTCTCCCACTCCCCCTGCTTGAGTTCCTGCTCTCGCTGTCTCTGTCAAAAAAATAAATAAAATCTTAAAAAAAAAAAAGCAGACAGATGTCCTCATCCTATGGATGGTACTTAAATGATGCAACTAAATGAGATTAACAGGGAAATGGGCATAGAGAACAGAAGAGATTGAAGGACTGAGCCTAGGATGCTCTAATGGTAAGAGTCTAGGAGAAGAAACAAGCAAAAGGAACTGAGGGTGTAACCAGTGAGCTTGGAGCAGGGGAAGCATGGTGTCCTGGAAAGTCAAGGATAGAAAATGTCTCAAGAAGGAGGAAGGGATCTATGGTTTCCAATGCCACTGGAGTGGGTTTGATGGAGCATGAAGGAAAGGAATTGGAGACAGCGGATATAGACAACTCTTTTCCAAGAGATTTTTGCTTATTTGTTTTGTCGTGGGAAACAGTGGGTTCAAGAGGGGATTTTAAGATGGGAGAAATAACATGTCTGTATACTGGTGGGAACGGAGAGGGAAAGTTGATGTTCAGGAGGGGAGGAGAGACCTTGAGTGGGTGAGAGAGGATCGGGTCTGGTGCCCAAGTGCAAGGGTAGCTTCGGAAAAAGGTTCAGAGGGCCAACAGCTCACCTGTAGGTGCGGGAGAGGAGGCAAAGAATATGGGGAGATGTGCTTCGCGGGTTCTTACCACTGCTTCAGTTTTCCACGCTGAATGAGGATTGGGAAGAAGTGTTTGAGGTTTGAGATGAGAGGTTCCTAGGCCTGGATGAGCTCCCACTTGAAGTTTGCAGTCACGACTCTAAAGTGAGATTAGTCACCAGGCTGTTTCTCTCTAGCCACCCACAGCTGCAGGGGGTGAGTGGGCCTCGGGTCGGCACTCAGCCAAGCAAGTGCAAAGATTTAGGAGTGGGCCAGGGAGCTGAGCACCCAGTGGGGACTCAGATGTCACGTTAGTCAGTGCTGCTTCTCCTACGATCTACAAACATCCTACCCCGGGTTTGTAAGGTTCACGGCAATCATGACTGAGTCATAGTCACGGTAGAGGGCTGGAGCAATATGCTTCTGTTGTCGTAGGGATGGCGAAGGAATGGAGTCCCTAGACTTTCCAGGTCACGTCTTCCCGTGAGGCCCAGAACAGTCCCCCATCCTGTTCTTCCGAGTCGATTCGCGTCCATCTTCTGCCACGTGGAGAGCTACCAAGAGAGCCTAGCAGAAGGTTCGCTGCCCCAATTTCGAATTAATAATCATGTTGGTAGTTGTATATTTGTTGTTTCTAGAGAATATATGTTCTCATTTTATCTTACCCACCCATGTGTTTTGTGAGTGGACCAACCTGGTTGTTAAGTTTATAAACTTTGACGCCAGGCTTTGCAAGCAGCAAACCCCTTCCAGTAGGGTTCTGTCGTGGTCAGTGTGAAGAAAGACCCTCTTCCTGCCAAACTGCTTCTTACCCATCTGGACTGGAAACTTCGAGTTTGGGTGTCGGGATTCAGAAACGTGTCTTAGGTAAGTGTGGACCATCATAAAGGATACTGAGCGTAGGAGGCAGAGACGGGATTTGTATTGTGTAAATTGCTTTAGATGTATCTGAACCACCTCAGACTTCCCGCGCGTTCCTATGTAAAGCTGAAATGTTGTTCCCCAAAGCCGCTGTGTCAAAACAGCAACAAACACACACAAAACAGACTGTGTTAAGAAATCGGTATGGTGGGCACCTGGGTGGCTCAGTCGTTAAGCGTCTGCCTTCGGCTCAGGTCATGATCCCAGGGTCCTGGGATCGAGTCCCGCATCGGGCTCCCTGCTCCTTGGGAGCCTGCTTCTCCCTCTGCCTCTCTCTCTCTCATGAATAAATCAATAAAATCTTAAAAAAAAAAAAAAGAAATCGGTATGGTCACTGTGTCCGTTCTGGAGTCGGTGTGCAATAATTGCTTCTGCCATATTCAAACACCATGCACACATTTGTTTACACTTTGAAAACCCTACACAGTTTAGAGACGTGGGTAGTCATATGGCCGAAGGAAACAGATGGGAACACAGTGCTGTCGCAGATTCTGACTCAGGGTAAATCATTGCTGGGCTCCCACTAGGATCTCAATGCTCTGCCAGGCCCTGGGATAGGAGGGAAGGGGAAAAGTGGAGCTCCCGCTTTCAAAAAGTATGTTTGTGAGGAAAAGGCTTACATTCCTGGCATTATATGAGGGGCAATCTATGTATACGCACAGATTCATATTCATCCTGGAGCTAAATATATTTATTCATTTATATATATCCTGGGGCAGATATTTAAACATTTTAAAATGGAAAAAAAAAAAAAGGTAAAAATGAGGGATTTTTGCAAATATTTTCTCACCCGTCACTACTGCCCTAGGAGAAAGAGTGTAAGTTACTTCCCTTTTACAGGTAAGAAAACCGAGGCTCACAGACATTAAATCACTTACCCAGGATCACTCAGCTCAAAAGCGAGAGTCTTGAAATCAGTGCCTTCCGTTCCAAAGCCGAAGCACCTGCCCTCTCCGCAGACGTGCTGTGAATCATCAGGAAGTCAGGAGCAAGGACGGTGCTGGGAGGAGGGGTGCCCGGGAATTCTTCGCTTTTGGAACCGTGGCCATTAGATGGCACACTTACCAGCGTCTAAGGCGGGGGCTTCCTCGTTGCCCTTCCCGGCTCTGCACTCAAGACCCATCTTCTCCCCACATCTGAGGGGATTCCTCATCGAGGTCACGTCTGCAGGGAAAATTTGTGTCAGCTGCGACCTTCCAAGGGGCAAATCAATCCCATTAACGCCAGCTCCCGAGAGAGCCTGACGCCACGGGGATAAAAGAAGAAGCGGGAGCTGACGGTGGTGGCATTTTTGGTCTTTTCCTCCTCTGAGGAGGTGGCATAGCTGACATGTGGATCCAGAGTCTATAACGGGGGCATTTCTTTCCGAGACCATGAGCTCAAGTGTGGAAGGGGCCCCAAACTGAGCTGAGCGGGGATCGAAAGGTAAATCCGTCGGGCATCCTCCTAAGAACAAACTTTTCCAGCCAGAAGATCAGGCTGGGGAGCTCAGGCGCTCGTCATTCGTGCCACAGGGTCACCTCGAGAGTGTGCTGGGTGGGGGTCCAGGGTCGGAGACGCCTCACCTCTTCCTTAGTGACGTCCGGTCACCAGGGCCGAACTGGAGGGTCGCTTGGCTCCGCAGTGGAGTCTTTGAAGCCAGGCAGGCCTAGGTTCAGATTCCAGCTCTGGGCCCCTGGGGAAGCTACCCCATTCCTCCATGGCTCAGTTTCCCCGCTCCTTCAGTGGGGGTCCCAGAGCCTCCTTTGCACAGTTACTGTGGTTCTCCAAGAAGGTAACGGAAAAGGGCACCCCAGGGTAGCCGGCCCTGACTGGGTGGCTGCTATAACCTTTGTTGTCAGCATCAAGCCCCCAGTGTCTCCCACGTGCACATCTGTCAGCCCCAGCTTGGCGCATGGCCCTTTCCTGTTCGTTTTTTTTTAATTAATTTATTTTTATTATTATTACGTTCAATTAGCCAGCATATAGTTTCCTGCTCTTTAGAAGGTAAGCGCTCTGGGAAGAAAGCCCCACACGTGTCAGAGATGCCAAATGGCCCTGGGGCGGGGAGGGCTCCATGGGAGGAGCACCTGTTAGGGGGGAAGCAGTACCGGACAGGGCCCAGCTGTGCGACGTGGGGAGAGAGCCAGCACCTCTCTGGGCCTCCATGTCCTGAGCTTTTACCCTGGGGGGGTCAGGGTAACTGCCCTTGATTTTGAAGAACTATCTGTCTTTTGACCGGTGGGCCGGGGGAGTGTGGGCTGGGACTGGGGCTGTAGGGAGGCCCCACTGAGAACGGGACAGCGGACGTGCTGTGCCGGACCCACGTCTGCCCCCTGAAGTCCGTTTACTGGCGCTTGTATTTTAGATTCATAGTTGCCGTGAACCCAAATTCCTTGAGTCCTCTGAGTGCAAGCCTATGGCTCAGAAGAGCCCCACGGTCAATGGCAATAACCTGCCCTACGGAGACCTGGCCTCCGAGGTGACCAGGCGCAGAGTCACCATGGCCACCAGGTACTTGAGAGCTCTCTGGCGCACTTAGGGCGCAGGGTGGGGGGATGGAGCGGCCGATCCCCACCAGATGCCTGAAACTGCAGGAAACACTGGTCTGCATAAACGTGCTCACACGTGTTCGTCTGTTGCTTCAAGGCAGATTTTATGGGTGAAAAACCTCTTTGTCACCCACCTTGGGAAATAGATTCATGTGGTCTTCCAACAGACAATGAGAAGGGTGCTGGGATGAATTTCAGATCAGTGGCTCTTCATCGGGGGGTGGGGATCGCTTTGGTCATTGGACAGAAGTGGTGATGCACCCTCCTGGTATAAAAATGCATGACTTTGCAAAGTTTGGGGACAGCCTGGACTCTCATTCCCAACTAGGCCGTAAGCTCCCTGCAGGCAGGCATTTCCCTCCCCCTCAACCCTGCAGCCCTGGAGCCCAGTACGGGGGCTCTTTGGAAGAGATGCCCGCAGCCGGTCTGGTCCTGAGGAGAAGCTTTGCAGCCGCTCTGAACCCCCACTGCCTGACACCCTCTCTTGATGGTAGGGTTAGTGGATAAAATATAGGGGGCCTGGTGCAATTTGAATTTTAAATAACAACAACAACGTTTTTTGGCCTAAGGATGTCTGCGCAATATTTGCGATATGCTTAGAGTAAAAAATCAGTTGTTGTTTATCTGAAATTCAAATTTCACCGGGCACCTTGTGTTTTGATTTGCTAACTCTGACGAGCCCATGATGGCCCCTGTGGAGTGCCCCGTCCTCTCTCTGGTCTAGATCCCCAGATCTAGTCGGGTGTCCAAGACCTCTGCTATATAAAGGTGCAGAAAGAAAAGATTAGGACTCCCAATTTCTATGAAAACCGAGCTCTACTGAAATTGATGTCCAGTTAGCTGCAGCTCACTTGCTGTGTGTCAGGTGGTCAGGGGTCAAGTCCGAGGCTTTCCTGTGGGGGGATGGGAGCTACAAGCTGGAGGAAGCGAGGGGGGGTGCTTCTTCACTCCACTCGCAGCAAATGCCAATATGTTGCAATTTACTTCTTGTGTTGGTTAAGTGGATTTACAAGTTATGTTATCTAGTCTCAATGAATGGAACCCTCAAAAGAGACAGGAAGCCTAACAAAATTTCTGCCAAGAAACCTGGCTTGAAATCATTCTAATAATGCCAAGAGTGAGTAAGCAACAAAAATTGGCAGAGCTGACACTTTTCGTTTGAGTTCTTTGTCAGGTACAGTATGAACGTAAGAATAATGACTTTATTAAAACTGATACGTAGTTGGCCAAAAAATAAAAATGGACTTGAAATATGGACCTCCATCCAGTATTACTCACAATGCTTCTTGACCTTAGAGTTTGGGGGGATGTACGACATCGGCGAATTGATAACACACCTTAGGCACAATGTCTTATCTAGATACGGGATGTTGCAAACTTTCACGGACAGGAGTACATGGCAGATTTGACACCCCTGGTTGATCTCGTGAGAGTGGGCCTTGTCTCTGGGGGTCATGGTCACTCTGCAGCAGCATCTGCTGAAGAAGGAAGAAATTCCACAACTCTGAAGCCTCCCCTAACCCCCCTCCCCAGCACCTCCTATCCTTTCAGCAAAATTAGGGGTCAGCTCTGACTGGGAGATGCAGTGGTGAACTCATGGTCAGGAGAGCGGAGCCTGGATTCCTTTTACTAGCCACGTGACCCGGGGAAATCCCCTTCTATCTCCTCCTCAGCTGAGAAGCTTATCAGGTGTGGCTGTGAATCTGCAGGTCTGAAGTTTCTAGCTCCACGTTCCTGACTCTTTAAGCGCTTGACAGGCCAGTCCTGAGGAGGATGGGAACACCCTGGCAGACCCCAGAGAAGGGTAGGATAGCCTGCAGCCTTGGGGGGGGGGGGGGCGCAGGGGTAAGTTAGGCAGAAAGGAGAGGCAAAGTGAACTTAAGGCTGAACTGGCCAGGGGTGTCTGCATGGCTCTGTCGGTTGAACGACTGACTCCTAGTTTCGGCTCAGGTCATGATCTCCGGGTCATGAGGTCAAGCCCCGCATTGGGCTCTGTGCTCAGTGGGGAGTCTGCTTCAGATTCTCCCTCTCTTCGTCCTCTGCCCTTCCAAACCCCAAATAAGTAAATAAAATATTAAAAAAAAAAAAAAAAGGCTGACCAGAATAGCTGAAATGCAAACGAAACCTTGAGAGAGAGAGAGAGCCTGCGCTCAGCTGAAATTACAGGGTGCAGACTGGTAGGGCTGGACCCACGGGGCCAGGGGAGGAGACAGCTGAGCTCTGAGAAGAGCTGACAATTGAAGCATGAACAGAGTCCGTCTCCATTTTGCCAGCTGATAGCTCTGTAAGCCTGGGTGGAGGAGTCAGGAAGGATGTCCTTCAACGTGTTGAGTGGTTCTCTTTAGGTGCTGGGATCTGAGGGTTTCTTTTTTCTTTTTTTTTTAAAGAATTCTATGTGTATTTAAAAAACATTCACTGTGCCTTTCCTCCCAGAGAAGAGAGATTTACCAAGAAAACTGATGAAGCCAGGGAGATGCCCTCCACTCTGGATTTGGAGCAAGTCCCTGCTAGCGTGGCCGGCCCTGCAGAACCCCCTGCCCCTCCTCCTTCACCCGTGGAGGACTACAGAGTCTAAGGGGGCTTTTACAGCACTCCGGCGAAGTTGGGGGTGTCTTTGAAGACTGTCTTGGAACATCTTTGTTCTTTCTTTCCTATTTTTCTTCTCTCATGATCACTGCTGAGTGGTGTTTATGCCTCACTAATGCACTTAGAGCAGTCTTTGGTTTTTCAAGTCAAGTCTCTGAAATATGTCCACATTTGATCTTTAATTTGTGTCATTCAATAGAACATAGGCAATTGTATTTGAATTCAAAAAAAAAGATGAGGCTTCAATGTTTGTTATTAAATCTGGATGAGTCAAAAGTGCAGAAATCTGTGACTTTAAAGATTTGAGCTCCAGAGAACCATGAGATATTTGGGTTTTCAGAACTCAGCCTGGGACACTACAGTTTTACGGGTTTGTGCACTAGTTTAACTGAGCTGCATCCTATCTGCTGGTGCCAGGCTGATTGTGGTTCACATGCATGGACAGTATTTCCAAGGTGTGCTTCTAGGAGATTTAAATGAATTTCAAACTCTGTAGCAGAAGAAACCCAACCTGAAAGGCAGCCAAGTGCAGAGTGAGAGAGAAGTCTATTGCTCAGATCCCATGTGCAAGACTCTGCACCCATCCCAAAGCACCTCTAAGGATTTCCGAGGCTCTTCTGAGCAGTTGGAAAGCATCAAAAATGTGATCATTAGGCTCAGGTCATGATCTCAGGGTCCTGGGATCGAGCCCTGCATCAGGCTCACTGCTCAGCAGGGAGTCTGCTTCTCCTGCTCTCCCTGCTTGTGCGCTCTCTCTGTCAAATAAAATAAAATCTTTAAAAATAAAATTCTTTAAAAAAAAATGTGATCAGGGGCGCCTGGGTGGCTCAGTTGGTTAAGCGACTGCCTTCGGCTCAGGTCATGATCCTGGAGTCCCGGGATCGAGTCCCGCATCAGGCTCCCTGCTCGGCGGGGAGCCTGCTTCTCCCTCTGACCCTCCTCCCTCTCATGCTCTCTGTCTCTCATTCTCTCTCTCAAATAAATAAAATCTTAAAAAAAAAAAATGTGATCATTCAAATCCACATATGGGAAATATCCTGAATGCTAGCTTTTATTTCATCCACTTCATAAGGTCCTTATGGGTGTCCTCTCTCCAAACCTGCCCTTAAAAATGCACTCTGGTCCCCCTACCTGACTGTGCCTTTGATCAGGTCAGCTTCGTGCAGAGCAGGGGTGAGGGGAGCATGCGTGGAGTGCCTGTCTTCGCCAGCTGGGTGCTCCATATACTCATGACCACCTCCTCCATCCGATGATGAAACAAACCTACACTGCTCAGTAAGACAGCCACTAGCCACATGTGGCTACTTACATTTAAATTCATTAAAATTAAATAAAATTCAGTTCCTCAGTTGCAGTGGCCACATTTCAAATAGCTTATTGGGCTAGTGGCCACCGTAATGGATGTTGCAGATAGAGAACATGACTAACATTATAGAAAGTTCTATGAGACAATGCTGGAACAGAGAGGTTAAGTGACTTGTCTAAGGTCAAACAGCCAGTTAAGAATAGAATCCAGGAGGGCAAAAGTGAGAAAGACTAACCCTTGTGGTATTTTATTTCCAGTTCTTTTTTTTTTTTTAAGATTTTATTTTTAAGTAATCTCTACACCTCCCAATACGGGGCTTGAACTCACATGATCCTGGGGTCCTGGGATCAAGTCCCGCATCAGGCTCCTTGCTCAGCAGGGAGTCTGCTTCTCCCTCTGCCACTCCCCCTGCTTGTGCTCTTTCTCTCTCCAATAAATAAAATCTTTAAGAAAAAAAATAAGTTCACCCAGCAAGTCTTAAATACTAGCCGACCAAGCCTGTCCTTACTGAATACTGAAAGGACTCTACGTTATCCAAATACAACGTTGTGTGTGTGTATCCGATGAGTCTGCTAATGTGCCAGCTTTATTAAATCACGTGACACCAAGGACCACCCTGAACGATCCGACCTCCAGCTTGTAAATCAGCAATTCAGATCAGTGGCTCTTGTAGAAAAACGTGTCACTGCTTTGGGGAATCATCTTCCGAATCAGTGATTTCTCTTGCGTGTGCCCGAGCCGTGGCTGGGGAATCTGCTCCAGTGTCCGGCGGCAGCGCGCCCGCGAAACCCCTGCTGACCGCTCAGGGCCCGTCACGGAAGAGGGGGGCTGGTGAGACGGTAAGAGGGGTGGGGGCTGGGGAAGCTCATCCACAAGAGGTGACCGCGGGTTGCCTGGGAGCTCGACCTGGTGCAGTCAGAGGCTCCTCCCTTCCCTTCCTCGTGCTTGGAACGTGGCTCGTGCTTGCCTTTCCCGCTCCCAGAGGCTGCTCCCGGGCGTAGCCTTGACACCGGGAGGTGGTATTGAAAACACCTGCACGCTGGGTGATGGACACTGGGGAGGGTATGTGCTATGGGAGCGTGTGAATTGTGTAAGACTGATGAATCACAGACCTGTACCTCTGAAACAAATAATACATTATATGTTAAAAAAAAAAAAAAAAGAAGAAGAAGAAGATAGCAGGAGGGGAAGAATGAAGGGGAAGAAATCGGAGGGGGAGATGAACCACGAGAGACGATGGACTCTGAAAAACAAACTGAGGGTTCTAGAGGGGAGGAAAGTGCGGGGATGGGTTAGCCTGGTGATGGGTATTAGAGAGGGCACGTTCTGCATGGAGCACTGGGTGTTATACGCAAACAATGAATCATGGAACACTACATCAAAAACTAATGATGTATGGTGATTAACATAATAAAATAAAATTAAAAAAAAAAAAACACCTGCACGGCAGACGCGCCTGAGCCTGGTGAAGGCCTCTCTATAAACTTTTGTGATGTGGCAAGTAGTACAAGGATTCACTCATCCTGCTGCCACCCAAGACAAGCCTGCGTGTGAGTCCCCTGTGCTTGCAAATCTGCCACCTACCAGCCTGGAGTGCGCAGCCTTCCTCCTCTTTTCCCTGCCTTCTGCATGAGTGGGCTGGCTTCAGATTTCGCCTGGGAAGCTCCCTAGGTGGTTTCGAACCAACAAATACATTCTGTGGGGTCAGGAATTGATGGTTTTGTTCAGTGTTAAGACCCTAGAGCAGTGCTTGGCTCACACAGTAGACAGTCAATATATTTTTTTTTAGTCCATATTTTTTTTCTAGCAATTTATTCTTTTTAAGATTTTATTTATTTATCTGTCAGAGAGAGAGAGAGAGCATAAGCAGGGGGAGTGGCAGACAGACGGAGAAGCAGTCTCCCCACTAAGCAAGGAGCCCCATGCGGGACTCGGTCCCAGGACTCCAGAATCATGACCTGAGCCGAAGGCAGATGCTTAATGACTGGGCCACCCAGCGCCCTCAGTGGTGCATTTCAACAGGTCTTGACCACAGATCCCAGTGGAGATCAGGTACTTCCCCATCACCCAGCAGTACCAAGTAACTCATCCATCCCAGCGGGATATCCCATTTCAGCAGGTAACTCCTTTCCCGGACGTGATGGGGCTTGGTGTTCTCAGCACACAGTGCAGTCACACCTGGTGAGAGTCGGGGTACTGGCCACCTCCCATGACTTCCGTACCTTTACAGCGGCGGGTGCCTCCCCGGGCTAGCATCTGGGCTACAGGCCCTATGGTTGATCATTCAAGTGTGTGCAAGACTGGGACAGAACTTTAGTCCTCCCCACCATTGTTACTAACTTGATCTGCCCCTTTAATATTCCGTGCTTTCTTTCTACCAGCCCTGCTGCTTGTGCGTTATAGGGGAGACGGAACCTCTGTTCAACATCACGTTCTATTGCCCAGTCTAGCATGTCGTGATTTTTGAAACGTGGCCCCTGATGGCTGTCTCGCTGATGAGGGCATCTATCCACAGTCGTTTTTCTTCCCCCCTAATGCTTGCAGCTTGGTTTGCATGGCGACAGGGGCAAGCTGGTGCAAGGCCACACGCAGGGTCCACAAACCCAGACATATTAAGAGCCCTTGCTCAGAAGGATGGCCCAACAGGACCAACTTGCCAATCTCTCGTGGGCTGGGAACTCTGGTGGATGGCCCCAGACTCCTTTGGTGGTTACCTTGGGCATCGTCAAGAACACACGGACATGCGGTCACTGCATTGACTATGTCACTGTACTTCAAGGGCAAGCCAGCATTCTTGCCAATCCACCCTCTACCTTGGGCACTGCAGTGCCACTTGTTCTGTGCGCCCAACCCGCCATATCTACTGAAGAGCCAGTAGTTAGGGCTCTTACCAAGCTAGGGCATCAGCTTCCGAGCTGCCTGGGGGGTCAGCGCCTCATGAGCCTGGACATGGAAGACAGTGAGGACTGCCTCAAGCTCTTGCAGATGCCCCCAGATGCCAGATGTGTTGCTGCATATCCTGACCCCATAAAGCCTTACTCATGATCATCCATCCCTTGGCTTCCCATTGTCGGGGTCATCAGTGCAAAGGGTTAGCGGCCAGGGCTCATGAGGGATCACTAGCCAGGCTGTGGGCTCTGAGCTCAGCCCTTGGGCTGCTGTGTGAGAGGCTCTACCCGGAGGAGCGCTGTGTGCACCTGCTAGAAGCTGGTTCTCTACTCGGGTATGCTGACTTCTGGCCCCTTTCGTAGCTGAGACCCATATCCCAGGGGTGCTCTCTCCTTGGGTGTTCTTTCTGCCACAGTGCCCAGCCCATACCTTCTGGAGTCCCAGACACATCTAACTCAGTGGCAGCCCTGCTTGGGAGACGCCCAGAGCTTTGATCTGCTTCACTCATAGTTTTGCTTTCTCAAAGGCGGCTTGTTGCTCTGACCCCTGCCCACATGTGCCCTTTCTTGACCAGACAGTGTAAGGGTCAGAGGCTCTGTGCCAGGTCGGGAATAAAAGCCCTCCAGACTCCAAAATCCCTACAAAGATGTGCACCTCTTTCACATTCTTAGCTATCGGATAAGCGTGTACCTCATGGATCACAGCGTGTGGGACAACCCGAGTCTTATCTGACCAGACGACTCCCGAAACCTTATGGCTGGGCCTTGGATTTTCTGTGGGTTCACTGCCCATCCCCTTCCCCACAGATGCTCCAGCAGACTCAGTTGTTAGAGCATGTGACTCTTGATCTTGGGGTCATGAGTTTGAGCCCCATGTTAGGTGTAGAGAATACCAAAATAACAACAACAACACAAAACAGATGTCCCAGCAAAGCCTGCAGAGTGTCCCCCCAGCAGAGGCCAAACTTCACAGGTCAGCATTACATCATCAATGTAATGGGTCTACTTTACTTTGGGGAAGGACAACAGGGACAGTCTCAGGCTGTGCAGGTGGGCTTGGGAGAGCCTGTGAAAGGCTTATTTTCTCCCTCCCACGTGAGGCAAATCGATCTTAGTTATCAGAAACCCGTCAAAGTACTTTTTATTGAATTTCCTTGAGGATGAAGCACTTTAACAGGAATAGTACCCACCCGCCCAAAGCATCAGAGTAAAATAGTAACTGTCTGCAAATGCCAAAAGACTTTTAAAATGGCCATGGTTAAAGATCCGATGAGAGTTCAGTATCATGTAGTCGACAAGGAAAAAAATCAGTATCATGTAGTCGATAAGGAAATTTGGTCATTTGTATGACGCACATTTTCAAATAATACTGATATCATTCTACCAGAAATTTCA